TAAAAATATGTTGGTTCTCCCTTACCATGAAAACTTGGTTGATATGCCTTCTCTTCTTAAGACTTTTAATATTAAAGTTGTATTAAAAAATCTTGATACAGTAAAAAAACTTTTGATAAAGAATTCCCCCCAAAATGCTGATGGATGTGTCTATAAGATTCCTTGTAAAATTTGCGATAAAGTTTATTACGGTCAAACTGGTAAAAATCTCGAACTGAGATTAAAACAACATAAATATAGCATTAGAACTGGACAAGATTCCAATGCTCTATTTATTCATGTAAGAGATTTTAACCATCCAATTGATTTCAAAAAGTTGAGAAATAGTATCAAGCAAGTCCATGGTCGACAGGAATATAATTGAATCTTGTTTCATAAAAAGCAGTTTTGACAATAATATGAATATTTCCTTTGGTTTATATAAATTAGATCCATTTATAATTAATAGAATTTGGGAAGAATTTAATAATACACTGGACAAATAATTTTTAAATTTTCTTGGGTAGAATAGTTTGTGGGGTGAGTTGTGCAAAGGACTATCCAAGTTGGGTCGGCGCGCGTCAGGTGTTTAACCGTTGTGGGATCTGATAGTGAGGTGCTGGCCAGACCCCTTATATAGCTTCCTTGGATGCTTTACTTTCATAGTTCCTTGATAATGTGAGTAGTCACGAAAGCGCTTGGAATTTCTCTATTCTTTCAGAGTGGTTGTTTTGCATATTCTGAAATCACCTGTTTACTGTGATCTTATTGCATATATATATATATATATATATATTATATATATATATATATATATATATATATAATATATATATATATATATATATATATATATATATATATATATACACACACACACACCTGGTAAAGTGTATGGTAGAGTTATTATTGAAAGAATTAAGGCAGACTCACTGAGCGCTTTCAGACCGCATCATTTATTGTCGTGCATCTGTATGATAATCGTATACTTTATGAATTTTTATTTTACAATAACTTGTAAAACATAAATAAGAGGGAGAGTAGGATATCAGATGAACAAGGAGGCTTTAGGAAAGGTAGGGGATGTTACCCTTATTTATATAAAGGTAAAGAGGTTTTTGTGGCATTTATGTTTTTGGAAAAGGCATACGACAGGGTGGATAGGGGGGGCAATGTGGCAGATGTTGCAAATGTATGGAATAGGAGGTAGGTTACTGAAAGCAGTGAAGAGCTTTTACGAGGATAGTGAGGCTCAGGTTAGAGTATGTAGGAGAGAGGGATATTATTTCCCAGTAAAAGTAGGCCTTAGACAAAGATATGATGTCACCATGGTTGTTCAAAATATTTAAAGATGGAGTTTTAAGAGAAGTGAATGCTCTGGTGTTGGCAAGAGGTGTGGGGTTAAAAGATACAGAATCTAACACAAAGTGGGAGTTGTCACAGTTGCTCTTTGCTGATGACACTATGCTTTTGGGAGATTCTGAAGAGAAGTTGCATAGGTTGGTGGATGACTTTGGTATTGTATGTAGAAGAACATTAAAAGTGGATATAGGAAAGAGTAAGGTGATGAGGATAAAAAAATTAGGTGACGAAAGATTGGATATCAGACTGGAGGGAGAGTATGGAGGAGGTGAATGTATTCAGATATTTAGGAGTGGACATGTCAGCAGATGAGTCTATGAAAGATGAGGTGAATCATATAACTGATGATTAGAAAAAGGTGAGTGGTGCACTTAGGAGTCTGTGGAGACAAAGAACTTTGTCCATGGAAGCAAAGAGGGAATATATGAGAGTATAGTTATACCAATGCTCTTATATGGGTGTGAAACATAGGTGGTGAATCTTGCAACAAGAGCAGGCTGGAGGCAGTGATGTCATGACTGAAAGCAATGTGTGGTGTGAATACAATGCAGAGAATTCGTAACTTGGAAATTAGGAGGAGATGTGGGATTACCAAAACTATTACCAAGAGGGCCGAGGAGGGGTTGCTGAGGTGGTTCAGACATGTAGAGAGGATGGAACAAAATAGAATGACTTCGAGTGCATAAATCTGTAGTGGAGGGAAGGCGGGGTAAGGGTCAGCCTAGGAAGAGTTGGAGAGAGGGGGTAAAAAGAGGTTTTGTGTGAGAGGGGCTTGGACTTCTTGTAAGGGCTTGATGTGCTGTTGGAGTGTCAGCAAGGCAACATTTATGGAGGGATTCAGGGAAACCGGCAGGCCGGACTTAAGTCCTGGAGATGGGAAGTACATTGTCTGCACTCTGGAGGGGTGTTAATGTTGCAGTTTTATAACTGTAGTGAAAGTGTGCCTCTGGCAAGACAGTGATGGAGTCAATGATGAAAGTTTTCCTTTTTGGGCCACCCTTATATATATATATATATATATATATATATATATATATATATATATATATATATATATATATATATATATATATATATATATATATACAATGCAACTAGCCAAGGACTCGAACCCATGTCGTTTTGGCTTGCCTCATGGTGAGCGAAAAATCACATGACTCTCTAACCCACAGGACCACCAAATCCTACAAGAATCAAGCACCGGGCAGTGCTAGGTGTTTTACCTTGATCTGGGGACTCTTGTGGGTGACTAATTTCATTCTACTCCCCGTTGGGTGTACTAGCCTCCACGAGCAGTATTTCATATTATTGTAACCACGAATGAGTGATATTTAATCAATAACAACACTGCAACTAGCCAAGGACTCAAACCCATGTCGATTTGGTCTGCACCATGGTGAGCGTATGTCCTTGGATCAAGGTAAAACACCTAGCTCTGCTGGGTGCTTGATATTTATATTATTTGGTGGTCCTGTGGGTTAGAGCGTCATGTGATTTTCACTCACCGAGGGAAGCCAAAATGACATGGGTTCGAGTTCTTGGCTAGTCGCACTCGTTCATGGTTACATTAAAATAAATACTGCTCGTGAAGGCTAGCACACCAAACAGGAAGTAGAATGAAATTAGCTCAGAGGCATTCACACCAGCGTATGTCCTCGGATCAAGGTAAAACATCTAGCTCTGCTTGGTACTTGATTTTTGTAGGATTTGGTGGTCCTGTGGGTTAGAGCGTCATGTAATATTCGCTCACACCATGAGGCGAGTCAAAACGACATATGTTCGAGTCCTTGGCTAGTTGCATTGCTATTGATTAAATAACACTCGTTTGTGGTAACAATATAAATACTGCTCGTAAAGGCTAGTACAACAGAGAGTAGAACGAAATTAGCTCAGAGGCACTCACAACGCCGTATGTACTCGGATCAAGGTAAAACACCTAACTCTGCTGAGTGCTTGATTTTTGTAGGATTTGGTGGTCCTGTGGATTAGAGCGTCAAGTGATTTTCGCTCACCATGAGGCGGGCCAAAATGACATGGGTTCGAGTCTGTGGCTAGTCGCAGTGTTATTTGTGTGTATATATATATATATATATATATATATATATATATATATATATATATATATATATATATATATATATATATATATATATTTGTATCATGGGGACTATTGAAAGTATAGTCCCCATGAAGAGAAGGGGAGGAAAATAGTATTAATATTTTCAATAGTAGTCGTGACCGTGCCCTGGAGGCCAGGAATCACAGTACAACAGGTTGATAAAGAATGAAGAAACTGTGCAAGGGGCTATGAGGCCTCAACTAGGTGTCTCTTTCTTGTAACGTTGACATAAACACTGGTGTGAAGTACGCAAGAATCAATATTTGCTCCTCTAAATGCTAATAAAAGTGAAGTTACTGATAACAAGACGGAGCAAAGTTTAATTTTGATATGTAGAAATGGGTGAGCTTTGAGGCTACTGCTCAACATACATTATTATTAGTTATATTTATGGAAAGCGCTGCACCACCTCAGGTTTGAAAGTTTACTGGGTGAAAAACACTTGCAAGTCCAAATAACTCCCACAGCTTCCCTCAACCTAACTTGCTGATGCATGGAGAATCAGCTCCAATTCTTAGGATCAAGAGTCCCTCACCGGCATTACAAACCTTCCTTTGAGAGGACAAAACAATGGTAATGGAGGAAACTCATTAAATACTAAAATACTTACAAACTTTTCACTGTTATAAAACAGTGTTGTTTTACCACTTATTAATTGTACTTCTTCCCTCTCTTACAACTGGAATGTTATGAGCACGACAAGCTCAACACCCACTTAACAGACACTCATAATTAGCTGAACAGCCACCTAACACTCATAACTCACTTATAATTAGCTGAACACCCACCTAACAGACACTCATAATTAGCTGAACACCCACCTAACAGACACTCATAATTAGCTGAACAGCCACCTAACAGACACTCATAATTAGCTGAACAGCCACCTAACAGACACTCATAATTAGCTGAACAGCCACCTAACAGACACTCATAATTAGCTGAACACCCACCTAACAGACACTCATAATTAGCTGAACACCCACCTAACAGACACTCATAATTAGCTGAACAGCCACCTAACACACTCATAATTAGCTGAACACCCACCTAACAGACACTCATAATTAGCTGAACAGCCACCTAACAGACACTCATAATTAGCTGAACAGCCACCTAACAGACACTCATAACTCACTCATAATTAGCTGAACACCCACCTAACAGACACTCATAACTCACTCATAATTAGCTGAACAGCCACTTAACCGACACTCATAAGTCACTCATAATTAGTTGAACAGCCACTTAACCGACACTCATAAGTCACTCATAATTAGCTGAACAGCCACTTAACCGACACTCATAACTCACTCATAATTAGCTTAACAGCCACTTAACCGACACTCATAAGTCACTCATAATTAGCTTAACAGCCACTTAACCGACACTCATAAATCACTCATAATTTAACACTGGTCCAGGATTGAGCAGTGTCGTCTAGTTTACACTTCAGATTGTGATATAATTGTGTTGTTGACTGAGATTGCCAAGATTAGTCGCTAAGACTAACACGGGGAATATAAAAGTATTGGCTTACCTCCTCCTCTTCCTCTTCTTCATCTTCCTCTTCGCCAACGTCTTCTCCCGTTTCTTCAAGGCTTTCGCCGTCGTAGACGCCTGCTTCGTGGTCCTCTTTGACGGGTTGCGTGAGTGGTTCCAGTGCTTCGCCGTTGACATGTGGAGTGTCGGGTGTTGCCGGTACCGCGGGCTCGTGGGCGGCCTTCCCCGTCGCTGGCTCTGATGTGGGCGTGCTGGGGGGCGGACTCTTGGGCGTCTTGGGCGTTTGTGGTGCTGGAGAAGTTGGGGTTGAGGGTGTACCCGTTGACTGCGGCGTCTTAGGGGATTTGTGTTGGTCTTCTCGGGCGTGTGAGGGGGATTTTGGTGAGGTTAGTCTGGGTAATTTGGGAGGCGGACTATCCGTACTATCCTTGACTATTGCCACACCTACTTTACCGTCTCGCAGCGGCTCGGCTTTGCGCTTGCCCGGCTGGGGAGGCGAGGTGGAAGGAGTAGATGGGGTAGTAGTTGTTGTGGCTGTGGTGATAGTACTTGTGGCGGTGGTGGTGGTAGTAGTGGTGGTGGTGGTGGTGGGTGTGGTTGTGGAGGAGGAAGAGGTGGAGGTGGTGGTAGTTGTGGCGGTGGTGGTGGTGGTAGCGGTGGTGGTGGTAGTGGTGGTGGTGGTGGTGGAGGCAGTGTCGACGTCAGTATTATCATCGTAATCGTCGTCTTCATCGTCCTCCTCCTCGGTACCTGTGTCCAGCTCTACTCTACTGCTGCTGCTGCTACTGGTGCTTCGTTCTGCATCGCGCTCCGCCGCAGCTGCCGCTGCCGCCGCCGCCAGGGAGCTGCTTCTCGTGTTCTCCTGCAACACAAGAAATCACATATCGGTAAAGCATCGCATCTCTCATGCAAAAAAAAAAAAAAGCAGCTTCTAAAGAAATTATTATTGAACTTATCGTGTACACCTAAATTATTAAGAGTACATCAAGTCTCCCAAATTTTACTCCCTGGAACACAGGCGAGAGATACATCATAATTAACATCTGGAGGAACTGGTTAAAAACATGCACACTGGAATAACTTCTGACGAAAACGGAAAGCATGGTGATCAAACACTTTATCAAGTCCAGTGCATGGGTGAAACATTAATAAAATTTGACTGTAATCGCATGTCTCCCTCACGGATACAAATTACGAACTACAGACAGACCCTCCACATAAAAATATTAATCTAAGAACCCAGGTATTAAGCACTAAAGATTAACAAAATACTGTCTCCCAGTGTAAACAGGAAGAATGTCATAAGTGTTACCAGTGGTTACAAATACTGGTGCAACAATTCATAGACGAGTCACCTTCTTTACAGTCTTATGTTAATCCGAATGTCACAAAGTAAAAACAAAAATAGCAAGCAACGCCAAATATCAGCAAGCATCCTCAAACACCAGTATGTCTCCACAAACAAAAACAGGTGGCAAAAACCGCAGAGAATACCTGGATTCAGGAAGGATGTTTTCGGTATTCTGCAGCCCAGTCCCAGACCAGCCTAATTAACCAGGCTGTTATTGCTGGCTGAATGCATTCCAATGTAAAAATCATAGTCCGGCTGGTCACACACTGATTAGAGGAACTTGTCCAGTTCCCTCTTTAAGACTGCTAGGGATCTGTTAATAATTCCCCTTAAGCACGGATGGAGGGGGTTGAAGTCAGGTACCACCGACACTCACCGAGCTCTTAATGTACTCCTCACGTTCCTGCTTTCTAGTGGAGGTATTTTGCACCTGCCAAGTCTCTTACTGTCATATGGAGTGATTTTGGTGTTCAGGTTTGGGATCAGTCCTGTCAAGGAATTTCCAAGTGTAAATTATGTACTCTTCTTGCCTGCATTCCAAGGAATACAGTTGAAGGGACCTCAAGTGTTCCTGCAATTCAGAGGTTTGAGCAGTGAAAGTTATCTACGTATTTTAGCTCTGCAATCTATCCTGCCTTCGGGGGGGGGGGGGCCGTCAGTATACAGCAATATTGTAGCCTGAAAAAAACAAGTGATGTAACAGTATCATCACTGGCTCAGTGTCCGTGGCCTTGAAAGATCTATTTATCCGGCTTATTTTCTTTGTGATAGCAAAGGCAACATTGTTGTGATTCTCAAATGTAAGATCTTCCGACATCATTACTCCTATGTCTCACACACAGGACTTTCGCTCTATTGAATGATTTGAATTTGTCCTGTACTCTGTGTTGCGACCCCTGAATGGGTCACAATGTATATAATGTATATTACCTGTTCTTATAATTATATATTGCTTTATAATATTATTTGACTTAGTTATATTATTAGGTAGGATGTAACATTTATATATATTATTCAGTGCTCATAGTTCAAGTGTTGATTGTCTAACTACTGTAATTATCGCTCGTTGCTTGTTTCCCTGCCGGCTTTTCGGTGTTGCTGGGCAGCAGCTGTCTACGGAGCAATCATGTGATCGAGGGGGGTGTTCACACTTCGCCTGAAGTAGTCAGTCTGGGCTGGACTCTCTTGGTGGTTGGACGTATTCCTGACAAGACGTGCCTAGCACTCTCTTGTGGGCCCTTGTTGGAAGATCGTCTCTGTCGCTTACTTGTTGTTAGTTCTGTAGAACTCTGTTCACAGAACATTGCCTAGACTTAGTGATTTTCGACGTTGTACTGAGGTTGTGTGTCACATAGACACTCTGAGCAACTCAGGTCTTGAGCTGTAGCTTCTGACCTAACTTGTACTGGTATCTGTGTACTGTCACAGTCGGGGATTTTCTTATGCTGAACTTAGATTCAGTAGTATGGGAGTTTTGTAACTTTTGTGGAGGATCTGCTGATGGTCCCTACTTAGTGTCGTTATATTATCTCCTTGATCCTGATTCTGTGTCGCAGTTGCTTGTTATATTGCTACTGGGCTTAGCAGTCGTTTTATTGTTCAAGTAAGCTGTTCTGATTGCCAGGTTGGTCAAGAAGTTAGTTGATGTGAGGACTTTGTCAGTCACTGGTTTAAGTCTAGTCGAGTCTTGAGACATAGCGAACTACTTAGAGCACTTACACATACACACAAACTTATTTATATATATTTGTATTATTAAATGTTAATGTACCAGACGGTACTTAAGACATATAAATGTGATATGTGCCTTCAGCACAATACTACTGTACACGAGAGAAGTGATTATTATTATTTTGATTTTGATTAATTTAATTTGATAATATACGCCTAGACAATTTTTTTTATTAATAAATTTATTAAATTTTAATTCCTTTAGTTAGTAGCCTACCAGTTGAAATCCTGAAGCACTAATAATTCTTACTGAATTCTAATGGATAATTGGACAAGGATACTGACTACTTGTTACGAAAACCCAGTAACAGGCTGAATGCTAGAAGGGCAGTCCTTTCTAGGATTCACTGGAGATCTCTATGCTTATTAGAAATTGCGTTTTTTGTAACATTCTGTTAGTCTTTATTTCCTACATCCTTCCATTCTATTGATGGCTTCTTCATAGTCAACTGGGAAGAGGGCAAGATCGGAAATTATGAAGATGTAGGTAGTGTTTCGAGTCTCATTCATGTTTGGGTGTTTGATCTATAGACTTATAAGTGGTTCTGTGAGGAAAAAGTTCATTAGACATGAGTGGTGGAAGTATGAATGGTGGTGGTTATTTGTTGGGCAGTATGCATGTTCTATTAGGTGTGGGCATAGTTTCCTCTACTCCCCGTCCCTTCTTCACCCGGTGACGCGTGTCCCTCCGATCAGTTCACAGTAACTTGACTATTCATTCCACTCCTGTTTAATTTATGTGTTTGGGTTAATTTGATTTAAACAAGAGCTTCACTCTTGTTTAGGTTTGTTTCGCAAATTCTTTCTGTCCTGATTTGGACTTACGTAGTGTAATGTCATCATTTTTGTCCTCACCATTTCTTTTAAAGGCAGTACACCAATCATGTGAGTGATTTCTCGACTGGTGTGTTATTTTGTGTTTATTTTAGCCTTGATTGTCAGCTCAGGTCATCCGACACAGGCGAGATAAGATGGGCAACATTTATCTTTAACATATCTTACATTCAATCTGACACCTGCACCTACACTGGTCCCCTTCTACTCGTAGCCGACTTACAATCAGCTAAACACCATTCTACCAGAAGTCCCCCAGTTATAACCCCACCAATGTTTAATGGTGGTTCTCGACTGGCGACTCAACTGCTTCGCAAGTGTTGTAATGGTCAGAGGATACCAGTACCTCTGTTCGTCATAATCCCTACTAGTGTTGGGATCACTGTTTACTGAAAGTGTTACAATAGTCACATCCACCTGTGAACTCCCCCTCCCCAACGTCGACAACGGCTCAGTGTTCAAAACCACAACTCAGAGCTACATGCTCAGAATATCGCCACGGCACCATTCTTAACTACGTATTTTGTACATATTAGCTTTGGGTCACTAATTATTAATACTTTTCATTTTGTAATTCTTTGCTTCAAGTAGGATTAATTTCATGTTTAAGTGTTTTATATTCTTTACTAGTTTTACTTTTTTTAACACATTGGCCGTTTCCCATCGAGGCAGGGTGACCTAAGAAGAAAGAAAAAATTTTCATCATTCAACACTTTCACCATCACTCGTACATAATCACTGTCTTTGCAGAGGTGTTCAGATACGACTGCCAATATCTGAAACCCCTCCTTTAAAGTGCAGGTACTGTACTTCCCATTTCCAGGACTCGAGTCCAGCTAACCGGTTTCCCTGAATCCCCTTCACAAAATATTACCCTGCTCACATTCAACAGCTCGTCAGGTCCCAAAATCTATTCGCCTCCATTCGCTCCTATCTAACATGCTCACGCACATTTGCTGGAAGTCCAAGCCCTTCGCCCACAAAACCTCCTTTACCCCCTCCCTCCAACCTTTTCGAGGAAGACTCCTACCCTGCCTTCCTTCCCCTACAGATTTATATGCTCTCTAAGTCATTCTATTATGTTTCATTCTCTCTAAATAACCAAACCACCTCAACCCCTCTTCAGGCCTCTGAATAATACTTTTTAGTAACTCCACACCTCCTAATTTCCACACTACGAATTCTCTTGAATAATATTTACACCACACCACCAAACACTACCCTTAGACACGACATATCCACTGCCTCCAGACGTCTCCTCGATGCAGCATTTACAAACCACGCTTCACAGTCATATAAGAGTATTGGTACCACTATACTCTTGTACATTCCCTTCATTGCCTCCATGGATAACGTTTTTCGTGTCCACAGATACCTCAACGCACCGCTTACCTGTTCAATTCTATGGTTAACCTCATCCTTCATAAACCCATCCGCTGACAAGTCAACTCCCAAATATCTGAAAATATTCACTTCTTCCATACTCCCTCTCTCCAATGTGAGATCCAATTTTTCTTTATCTAAATCGTTTGATACCCTCATCACCTTACTCTTATCTATGTTCACTTTCAACTTTCTACCTTCCCACACCCTCCCAAACTCGTTCACTAACCTTTGCAACTCTTCTTTAGAATTTCCCAAAAGCACAGTATCATCAGCAAAAAGTAACTCTGTCAACTTCCATTTTGTATTTAATTCCCCATAATTTAATCTCGCCCCTTCCCCCAACACCCTAGCATTAACTTCTTTTACAACCCCATTTATAAATATATTAAACAACCATGGTGACATTACACATCTCTGTCAAAGACCTACTTTTACTGGGAAGTAGTCTCCCTCTCTCCTACACATCCTAACCTGAGCCTCAATATCCTCATAAAAACTCATATTAATAAAACTGTTTATCTTATGTTTTCATTGGTTTTTCTATCTTTTCATTTCCATAA